TTTATTTATTTATATTTTATGTGTATGAGTATTTTGCCTGCATGTATGTAAATACACCATATGTGTGCAATGCCCATAGAGGCCAGAAGAGGGAGGCAGAACCAATAGAACTGGAGTTTTGGATGGTTGTTAGCCACCATGTTGGTGCTGGGAATCAAACCTGGGTCCTCTGAAAGAGCATTTAGTTCTCTTAACAGCTGAGCCATTTCCAGACCCAAACCCCCATCTTAAAAGGTGGCTACTAGGCATTGGGTGGAAGTAGTGTAGAAGTTGGTGGTCAGCATAGGGAGATACCCGTTTGCTATGTTAATGGGATTGCTTTTGGAAGTGAGAACAAAGGAAGATTTAAGTGACAACTAAGTGAATGGGCTATACTTTAGAAAAATAACTTTTATGCAGAGTTATTGAACATAAAAAACAAAAGTGGGGTATCAGAGGGAAAGAAAAAAGACTGAATCCTCAAAATAGGCTGAAGATTCAAGAAGGCGAGAGGAACAAAGTCAAGTGGAATTAAGAGACAAAGCAGCCGGAACTCTAAAATAGGTGAGCAGGCCGATGCTTCCCACCCGTGAACATGGTATGCGCATTTTGGGACATGGAAATCAGATTACCATGGAGGAAAATTGAAAGTTCAGCCAATCTAGAAAACAGAACCAAAATAAAGATACAAATCCTCTGAATTAAAATCATCACTTGGCAGAAACCCTTACAGAGAACTGATAATAAAAGGTAGCAAAAATGACCCTTTCTTCAAGCTTTCTTCGTAATTCTGACTTTAACAGATACTGAGCTACATCCAGGCATAGAAGAAAGCAATGCTTTATTAAACTGAAAAGTGTATTAGGTAATAATTTTTAAGTAGGGAGTGGGAAACCCCAATGACCAACAGGAGCCTGCTGTTGCCAAGCACTAATGGGGCACTCCCATGAGGCCAAGCTCACAGCTGGGAAGACCTAGAAGGGCTTGGGAGGAGCCTGCCTAAAGGCAGCAGAGAAAAGCTTGTCCTGGTTGGGCTTGCTTCTCCTTCCCTTCTGGAAACTTCTAAGTCCCAATAGGCCATTGACCAGTCATTCAACTTCCTGTGGAGTTAAGAAACTGCTGGAAATTGGAACAACACACTTCACCTAAAGAACGGAAGCCTTTCCCCAACTCTGCTTAGTCATCAACCTTTTCTGGCTCCATGTTGCTGTGCAGAGGGGCCTCTGAACACAGAATAAACAAGAGACTGGAAACATCTGGTTATAGCAAAAACACACTGGGCATGTGCAAAATGAGTTTTTCTAGTCTAAGAAAACCCAATCAGCTTAGCAATCAGCCATCTCCATAGCCAGCCTGGTTGAGAATTAAATGAGTCTCTCCATCTTTGTTCCTATCCCCTCTTCCTTTCCCATTACCACTATTAATGGGATCGCCATCTTTCTAAGCACTCAGACTTCTAGGTTACTTTGGATACATTCCTTTCCTTCTGCGGTTCTGTCCCCAGTCTTTCTCTACTTCAAGGTCAACCTTTGATTCTAAAGCATCCAGATGACCATTTAGGAAGCAGGGGCTCCTCCTCTGCACTGATTCTCAAAGGCAGCAGTAGCAAAGGGTGGCAGAGTGTGGAAACAGGTGAATACATGTGACACCAAAGTGCCCCCCAAACAACTTCCCTAATCTGGAAATTTGAAATGCCTTCTCTATGCAATCCAAACATAAAATCCAAACCTTTTTTCTTTTATAGACAGTGTCTTGCTATGTAGCCCAGGTGGCTTCAAACTGATCCTCTTCTTCAAACTCCCAAGTGCTGGGGTTACAAACGTATCACCATGCCAGACCTTTTAATCCGAAATTTTTTTGAACTCTGAAGTCTGACACTCAAAAAGTTTTGGAATTTGGTGCATTTTGGCTTTCTCTCTTAATTAAATCTAGAATAGATAATTTTTTTAAAACTCCCAAGTTCAAAATGTTTCTGGTCCCAAGCATTTTGATAAGCCTCATTCAAGCTGGAATAGAGGACTCGGGGGCTGCAGGTCTCCCCCTCCTACGTGAGACTCCCTGCTCGCCTTTGTGTGAACATCAGCCTCCAGTGCTGACCTCCCAGTAGCCAGCCCCCTCTCTTCCTTGTCCCCATCCTTCCCTCCTGTTCCTTGTGGGCCTTTTCTGTGAACCACAGATTGTGTTTCTTGTGGTAGCTCCGTCCTTCCTACAAAGTTCACAGTCTTCAGCAAGGAGTCAAGGTCCTTGTGACTCTAACCTGCCTCGCCACTCTTACCACCCCAACTCAAGGCAAATCCACATGGTCCTTGACCAATGAACCCTGCCCAGTGGTCACACCAAAGGGTCCTCACTCTTGGATTGTTTCCTCCACTAAGAGCAGTTTTCTTCATCTCTTACCCCTACTCATTCCTCTTGGCCCAGCTCAACAGCAACCCTGGTCTTGCCTCCTGAACTGTTCTCCTTTACCTCGGGCTAAAATTAATATTAACTTCTTTCTGCTGAAGCACAGCATTTACAAAAACTGTCAGGTTCCCAGGATATCAAGTAGACAGGATAGTAATATAGTTAATTTCCTAGTCTGTCTTTCCATTGCTGTAACAAAATACTCTGATCAATAGCAACTTGGGGAGAAAAGGGTTTAGCCAGCTTACATCTCCTAAGTCGCAGTTCATCAGGGAGCCCAAGGTAGGAACTCAGGACAGGAACCTGGAGGCAGGAGCTGGAGCACAGGCCATGGAGGAATGTTGCTTACTGGCTTGCTCTCTTGGCCCCTACTCAGACTGCTTTCTTAGGCAACACAGGCCCACCTGCCCAGGGGTGGCACCACCCACTGTGGGCTGGGCCCTACCACATCACTCAACAATCAAGAAGATGCCCCACAGACTTGGCCACAGACCAGTCCTATGGAGGCAATTCCCCAACTGAGGTGCCCTCAACCCAGGTGTGTCAAGTTGACACTAAAGCTATCCTGCACAGTTAAGATTATCCGTTCCCAGGGCTGGGTCACAAGTCCAACTTATCACTGAGGATGCTACACTCATCAGGAAGGAGAACATAAATTTATACCCAACTCTGCCCAATCCCATGGGTGCTAGAACCTGAAGCATAAATCTCCCTTATACTGAAGCCTGACAACTTGCACCCACAGATCCCATATCAGTTTAGCCACTACCTCCTCCCTCAGACCTTTTACACTTATGCACAGAATTTCATCTTTGACCCATTGTATTCCCTTGAATGAGCATGCAACTACAAAATATGCATTCAAAGGGCTTTGGAATGTAAATGAACTGAGAACCATCCATGTACTTGAGCAGATGCCATCTCCAAAGACAGGACCACAAACATCAATAAGGAGGATTGTGAATAGTTTGTTTTGTTTTTGAGACAGGGTCTCCCTGTAGCCCCATCTGGCCTGTAACTCACTATGTAGACTAGGCTAGCCTGGATCTCACAGAGATCCGCCTGTTTCTGTTTCCCGAATGCTGGGATTAAAGGCGTGCACCACCACACTCAGCCCAGTTACAAATATTTTAAAGTGTGATATAACATGAAGATGAGATTCTCATGTGGGGCCGTGTTTCAATTTAACCACTGGATTGAGCATGGTCACTGAAAGCTCAAGGTTGGTGACAAGGAGTCCCTGATGAGTCATTTAGGGAAAGCCTTCCCAACCACTCTCAGTATCGGGTATCAGGATAAACCTTCCCATCCCAGCAGTCACAAGTCACTTGGCAGGGAAGGGGGATGAGGTGCGCAGGCCTGGGAACCACGATGCAGCCTGATGACCTTCCTAGTCACATCTGACTCCCACGCCCACCCTTGCCCCTTGGTTTCTCAGGCTTGAGTGCTGGAGACAAGTGAGACTTTCGGTGGCTCCTTGCCCAAGTGGTAAACCAATCCCCAACACTTCTTCCTAATCTGAGAGGGTGCTGATAAGGCCCCGACTCCAACCGAAAGCTATTCAAAAGTGATTTTAATCTGGGAAGCAATAAGCAAATTATGGGTTTTATGTGTACCAACATGTACTTTAAGCCATGTGAAGTCTGTCATTTCCAGGCAGCTGCTTAAGAAGAAACAAAGGCACTTTGTAAAGAGGCATTCCCCAGTCCTGGAGTCATTTTGCATCTCCGAAAAATCAACATTTAAGAAGGCATGCACATTTCTTCAGGAACTATAAAACTCTTCCCACAAATTTTGCAAAGCCTTGAAAACTAAAGAAAATATATTTCCCTTTTGGTTACCAAAGTCAACATTAAAATATAAACACATGGGAATAGAGACGCACCCTGCACATGTTTTATTGTGGTTTGGGATGGAGTCCACACTCCCTTTCTCTATGTGGGGAAAAGATCTCTAATTGAAAGTTTATAGTTGAATTACCTTAGAATAGAGATACTCTCTACTTATATCTATGAAGATAATGTATTTGTTAAAGCTAGTTATTCATACCCGTGTTTTAAAAACTGCTCAATTATCCCAATTTATAACAACAATAACATTTAAATTCCCATTAAGGCCAACTCACAATAAACATTGCTTCTGAATGGGGAAATTATGCAGTGCTAGTACTAGGTGTGAGATTATGCAGTACTAGGTGTGAGAAAGGTTGGGATTCCATACCTTGAAGGTCATGATGAGATGAGTGAAATGGAATTCAGCTTCCAAATCCAACTGGATAGTTACATTTTCCAAGCCTACAGATTTTTTTAAAATACAGAAGAAAATGGTGAGGTCAACAGAACATCTAAACTCCTAAGACCACTTTCTTAAGTGATCTTTAAGCGCCCGTAGAAATCGTCTTTAAATGCACTTTAAAGATGAAGGTATTAATGATAATCCTTTGCACTTATTTTGTTGTGAGGCACAATTTAGAATGATGCTTCAGTTTTCCATAAATCACTCCAGAGATCAGTTTACTGTATCTGCTCACTGCAATAAGACATCTGACAGAACACCCCTCAGTGTTGTCAAGACAGACATTTGCTTAGGAAGCCTGAATCACTGTCCAAAACCCCCAAAGACAAATGACTATGTGTGTGTGTGGGGGGGGGTCACTTCCTGTGCACAGTAGGGAGTCCGCTTGCAGTCCAAAGTCCAGGGACACAGCAGAAACACAAATACTCCTTTTCTTTATATGACAGCAAAGAAAACAGATGAGTCTGCCACAAATGAGCCTACCACTGCCCAGCTCAGGGAAACTTAACCTTACTGGGACAACCTCAGGTGTTAGTTCTGCATCTGAAAAACAATATTAATAAGGTAAAGAACCAGTCAAATAAATAAACCTGGCCCTGAACAAACACTGACTTCTTCCCTTTCAGGGGGGAAAGCCTGAACAAACAAATGAGCCTTTGCACAGTGCACAGTGCCCTGAGGGTCAGAGGGACCCACTAGAACACACTAAAAAGGCCACTGGAATTCCTGGGATGGGAAGCACTTCCCCCACCCCCTAGGGCCCTCTAGGCTGCCCCCTGGAGCAAGGAGACTGTTCACCTTCCCTATAGGAAGGTGCCTTTAAGGTCCATCTTCCCTAGCCAAAGAAGTCTTGTAAAAGCAGGAAGACAGGAATGTGTCAGAATGAATCATGTTACTGCTGGTATATTTTCAGGAAATCTGTAGGACCTTTTGAAATAAACTTGCTCACTGGAAAATGGCCAAGTCGACCAAGGGGGAAAAGTGGTCACTGGAACGGATATGAGTTAGTTGGAATGTTAAAGAAAAACACTAAAATCATACCAATGAACCTTATCTAATTAATTAAAAAGAATCATCTTACAAAACTACTCTGGACATTTATTTTTTTTAGTGAGCTATTAGCTAAGCAACTATACATCTCTCCTCTTCTAGGCTTTTAAAAACTTATGATATTTGTTCAAAATTAAAAGATAAGGAAATAATGTAAAGTACAAAGTAAGACTAGTACCATTCCTGTAACATAGAACTTACGCCACACTGTGTGTGCCTAAAGAACATTCCATTTAGATTCACAGCCTGATAAAGCAGGATGGCTTGGGCTTTTTCTTTTAATAAGAAAAAAAAATCCATGGAGAAGAGAAACAAGATCATTTTATAGTGTATGCGACTTGCCAGGTCTGAGAACAGATCACTGTGAAGAGTCACCAAAAACCGTGGTGCATTTTAGGCCAGTCCCTGAACTTGAGCACTAGGATTCAACACTACCATGTATCCACCCAACTTGTGCAAAACACACAGAAAGGAGATAAAGTCACAATCAGGGGGAGAGTCTTCAATTGTGAACTATCAGACAACAAAGATATGACAAGTTATAGTAACAATCCTGACTTTCTGCAGGGCAAATTCTATCTGTCTGATCTCATCTAATCTGCGTGACAGAGCTCAAGTCCCTCAGTTTGCAAAATCTTTCTGGCATTTGAGACCTTTTGTTTAAAAAAAAAAAAAAAGCCATAGAAGCCGATTAACTCCTGAATCACTAAGAAAAACCTTTTATCACATGAAAAACTATTTTACTGCCTCTTGGCTTAAGTGGGGGTGGTCTGACTCCTAGTGTCCAGGCAAACTTCTAATGGTCTTTCTGCTTCATTGTAGAATGTGGGCAGTCAAGAAGTACTCCTAGCCCCTGCTCATAAAGAGGGCTCTAATGCTATTTCTGATGTCCTCTGTGATTCAGATTTGAAGCATCTTTTACACTGACCTATCAACCAGGATATTCCCCTGTAGGAATTACTAATTCTGTAAAAGTTAATCCAAATACTGTGTGCTTTCTGAGGGCTCATCTCTCAATCACATTTGTAACCAATGGATTCCCAAAGCCAACCGATGAACAAGCAACTCTCTTTAGAAACGGAGTCATCTAGAAAATCTGAAACTCACAACCAGTAACAAAGAAGACACTAAAGAAATTGCTTTTGACAGAATGATGAATGAAAATGGCTGCATCTCAGAGCCCCCTTGGGACAAGGCAGATAATGAAGAACTGGTCTTTCCAAGCTGTTTACAGCCAGGCATCACTTCTTCCAAGACCCTTTTCACAATTTTTAAAATAAGATTTAATGAAGTCAGACATCTATGGTGGCACTTCCTGTATTCTCAGCAGTTGAGAGGCAAGGCAGGAGGATTGCAAGTTCAAAGCCAGCTTCTGCTACAGACATATAAAAGATCTTGTTTCCAAAATCAATCTAAAATCTAATGCTATACTGTTAATTAACCAAAACACCAACTCTACCTTTATTTCTTAAATTTCATATGGCCTCAGTTTTACAGCAGTATTAACATATCCGATCAATGTATTAAACCAAATACCGAAAAGGAAAAGGGGCTGCATTCCCATCACTGACAACTGCTTAACATGGAGCCATAGCCTGTCCAGACTTGGCAAAATTACAGCACAGTGCTTATTTTAAGGTACTATTAGTTATATCATGAAATTTTCTGGAGCTGAAAGATGGGGGAGGGGCTGTGAGTTTGTCCTTTTGGAGGGGTTGATAACAATGAAAACCATTGTGTTCTGTGGGGCAGTAAGGGCCTGAGATACACAGGGCCTTCCCATGCCCTCTCCTGACTGGCCTTAGCACACACCCACTGCCCAGAGAGCCCCCTTAGGGTGAGGCCTGTTAATACTCATTGGGTCTAGCATCAAAGACTGCTTTCTTACAGGGCACAAGCTTCAGGGAGGAGGGTCAGATATGGTCAAGACAAGTGAGTGCTCCAGGCAGCCAGGCAGTAAATCTCTCAGGGGTTCTCAGCACTGGATAGAGAGGCAGGTCACAGTGACACATCCAGGAACCTGTGAACTCCTTTCAGGTTACCAGTCACATTCCATGGAACTTGTTCCCACACCAACCACATACCATTTTCAGACTGCCACCAGATCTTAAGGCGGTTTGGAGCAAACGTGGTGACCACATTTTCAATGAGATGGCTGTCAGGATTGAGGGTGTCATGATAAGGTTCTCGGGAATCACATATGAAGCATTTCTTGTCTTCCTGAAAACAAGACAGTTTTGTGAGTCTATGAAGCAATCTCTTAAAAACTCAGTAAGTCCACAGTACAAAAAAACCAAATCACTAGCTTCAAAAAAGGTAAATGAAAAAAAATTTCTCAAAAATTTACTGAGTTGTCTAAAATACTCCAAAATAATTTCCTCCTTTCTTGCAAATTCAAGATCAAGAATAACATAGAACATTGTTTCCAAAAGCTACAAATTTAATCAAAATCAAATGTCTAAGCTTAAATTTTAATCTCTGTAAGTATCCAGAGCAGCTTACTTTGGAGTAAAATGTAGGAGAGGTATTAGAGAGTTTTTGCTGACATAACGCAAACTGAAAATGAAAGGGGGTTAAAAACAATTCACTTGGCCTGGTTTCCTAAAACCTACATAAGGCAGAAACTAAGTATTAGACAGATAGTAGAGAGGCTGTAGGGACCACAGAGCTGGGCTTCTTCATCTCTATTCTGCCCAAGCAAGCAGGCGAACCTGAAAACTACTAAGAGTATTGGGAAAGGGGATACTGAGCTATCCTGTTATGTTGGGACCACTATAAATTGAGGCCATTTCAAAGAACTCCACTTGGACTCTAGCTGGAATGTTGCTAGACTTTGGTTTCAGTAGTAGTAAAATGAGAAAAATCTCTCATATTCTTTCTTCCTAAAATGGCAGTCACAGCCACCCAGGCAGTGGGCAGACCTCTAGCTATTCTCTGAAGTACATCAGGGTAGATCATAAACATCAAGAATTAATAGATTCTTTTCTATATGGAACTTTACTCAGTACCTACATTTTCTGGAATACAGATTGTTCTTACTTTTAAAAACGATGTTAAGGACTTAATATATACAAACCGATACATAAGTAGAATTTGGTCAAGAGCAATGTTAAGTCCGTTATCAAGTGCACTTTTACATTTGTATTTATTTGATTAGCTTTTTGTCAAAAACAATTTGAAGATGTTAGAGAAAAAGAGGCAGGTGTGGGGAGTGGGGGTCAGGATGCATGGGAATCCAGGATTTAATATTCCTGCTTTAGTTTTTATACCCTCTCAGTGTTTCAGAAAAAAATATGTGTGACAAGAACTACATAATTTCACGAGTAACCATACAAAGTAGAGAAGCTGGCTCTACCTGCTGTTAAATCCAGTTTTCACTGTGGTCAAAGCTGATTTCAGAATCTGGTAATTCATTGACAGGATGCCCTCACCACTGAAGCAAATGTGGGCAAGACAGTTTAGGTAAAATAGAAATGCTAGTATTAGAAAAGGTAACAGTAACTGCCTTCATTAACTTGTAGTCAAGGAAACTAGTAATGAAGAACAATTACCAGGACTTAAAAAAAAAGTTTAATTATAGCCTCCCTTCTAATCAGGAGGAAGCAGTCTAGACAGCTCTGTTAAAAACCTGGAAGCAAATGAGTGGAATCCACTTCACCACATTCCTTCGTTTTAATTTACCAGATCTCCAGAATGGACTTTCTGCTTTGTAAAAGTGGCTCCATCTGAAGCCTCTGTAGAGCAAATCCCAGGTCACTCTGTCCTCCTATTGCACGGGCAGTTGCCCACGTGGGTGGACTGAGCATGTTCGAAGCAATTAGCTTGAAATTTTCCCCACTTGTGAGACTGACATCTTTAGCTATAGTTAGAGGCCTGATTCCCAGCCACCTTTGGAAAAAATCTAGGAAAAGGATTGTTACTCTGGATAGCATATGGTGTGTTTTCTTTTACATTAGCTCAGACTATAGAAACATGACCTCTGTATTCTAAAACCTGGGTCCATTTTTGGAAGCAGGTAATGCCCTGAGAATTCATTTCGGTCTTCCACTATCACAATGCCATGACAACCAGGGCATTTTAAGGAAGGAAATGTACGACTCTTGACTGAATCACCTTGCAAGGCTTCAGTGTTTCCAATACCTTTATGCCCAAAAGAAAGATGGGAAACCCAACATCGTAGCTCAGTATACAAAGAAGAGAGTAAACCGTCTTCAACACACACTTTCAAAGACAGTGGAACAAACAACAAAAAAAACATCCAGGATCAGGCAAGGCACATGCGGGTCCGCAGCCCCGGCTTTCCTTACTTATGGTGGTAGTTGACAGTCGTAGGAAATGTTTAGCGGATATAATAGTGTAAACGGAGATGGGGGCGACAGGGTGAGCTACCAGCCAAATCCCAGGGCTCCCGGGCTGGCCGTGCTTCCTATCTGGATTGCCAGCAGGATGCGGAGTCCCCAGGGCATGCCCCTTGGGTCTGCTTCCAGGAGGCTGCAGCTGCGGCTCGTGCACCAGTCTGACCGCGCTCACCTGCAGGTGGCTGACGATGCAGTAGGGCTCCGGCTTGTGCAGTCCGCAGGTCGAGGTCACTGAGAGCTTCTGAGCTCGGCCGATGAGAAGGTCACCGGTGGCAGGGTAGCAGCTGCCTTCCGCACAGCCATAACTGAACTCCGGCTCCTGAGCGCGCACTCCGGTGCGGCACAGGGCTACGAGAGAGGCAAGCAACAAGGTTGGGGGGTGGGGGAGAAGGAAAGGAGCGGACAACAGGAGCAAAAGGAAAACAGCAAGAGGAGCAGACAGAGAGGATTCAGAAAAAGGGAAAACACACGAAAAACACAATGGAGAGATAGGCGCAGGAGTGGCCGGGAAAGCAAGGACATGGAGAAACCCAGGCACGTCACCAGATTTGTCCAGCAGGTAGCTGAGCGCATCATTCTTGGGAAACGCACTCGAGGTTTTTTGTCTACAGTGATCTGCCCCAGGCCAGAAGCCCTGCCGCAAAATGTGGACTTTGTGACAGGGCCACTTCGACGTGCCTGGACCAGGGCGCAGTGAGGCTGACCGCCACGCACTGCACACTTCGTGCGTGAGAAGCCGCGTGCACGTAGCAGTGCGCGCATCCTTGGTGTGAGTGTGGGAATTCCGTGAACAGGCGTGCACGCGCCGGGGTCACAGGCGATCCTGGAGGGTGAGGCGCCGAGTGGGCGGTGGGTGAAAGCCGCTTCCCGGAGCTACAGGCGAATCGCTGTGTGCCTGCAGCTCCGGAGTGGCTTCAACGTTCTGCCATCCCAGCAAAGCACCCAACCCAGCTGTTCACGGTGCCATCCCGAGACAAACAGCGATGGTTAATTAAAGCCACATGGCTCCAATCTGTTCCCAAGACGAAGGCAGGGCTGGGGCCCGAGCACTTTCGTGCGTAATGGGTTCTTCGAGGATTCTCCGCCGCCAGCCCAGCTACCCTAGGAAGCCTGCCTTCCGCGGTGGGGAAACAGCAGGAATTCGCACAGGGTGCAAAGGAGCGATGGCCTTGGCAGGTCGCCGAGCCCCGGGGATGCGGGTCCGCGGTGCTCCGCGTGCGCGGTCCCCGGCCACCTCCGAGTCTAGGGAGGCGGCGACCGGTCCCAGGGGCGTCGTTTCCAACCAGTCCCTCTCTCCCGTTCTCCCAAGGCTCCATTCAAATCGGGGACAAACGGGTTTGGGGATTTTCTTCGCCGAAGCCCGGAGCACAACCCTTCCCCCACCCTTCCCTCCGAATTACCTAGGACAGCCAAGGCGAACACCTGGAGCAGCCCCATGTCCAGTCCCTGCTGTGGAGGGGACGCGGCACAGGAAGGAGCGAGCGCCGGGCGAGCTGCCTGCCTTTTCTTTGCGTCTTCCTTTCTGGAGAGGTAGAGGGGGGAAAAGGCAAATGTTGAGAGAGACCGGAGGGGCCCTTCCATTTCCTGCCGCTCCCACGGAAGCCGGGGCTGGGTCGGGGAAGGGGCCAAGCAGCGCGGACACTTTGTTCTCCTCACCCGGCCGGGGAAGCGCTCTCGCCGCTCCGGCCAGCCCCGAGCCCAAAGAAGGGAATTAGAAAGTTTAGCCTTGGGAGGAACCGAGGGAGGCGCCTCTGCTCATGCGCACAAGGACAGCGGGGGCCGAGGGGGCGGGAGGCTGCAAGTTGGCGAGGAGGGGGTAAGGTCTGGGTCCCACCTACCCAGGCGCCTCTTTTGTTTTAAGGCCGCGTCTGCGGTCGCTGCTGGCCTTGGGTGCTTCCAGTTCCAAGCCTGGGCTGGCGGGTCTGCTCCGGGTGTGCGTCCGAAGTGGAGAGCCGAGGGGTGGGATGCATTGGGTCTGGTCTCGGGTTAAGTGTGCAGATCTGCTGGCGACGGGTGCTGGGTAGGACCTACCGTGGACTGGTACATTTACATTTGCAAGAAGTCCAGGAAAGATGCATCAGGCTAGGAGTTCAGGCACCTAGCCCGGGAAGGTGGGTTGGGTTAAAAAGGGAGCCGACTTGTATGGTTCTTTAAAACTTGAATTGCCCCATCTACATCCTTACCCCACACCCCAGCTTCAAGAGCAAGGGCTATGGGTGGGCGTGACATGTGTATTGTCTTAGTTTCTTAGGAAGAAGGGACACAGGTCTACATTGCGCTTTTTTTGAACACGCTTTTATTCTGGACATACCTGAAGTCCCTGCTACCCAGGAGGTCATCGCTCTGAATAATCCATGTGTTCGAACAAAAAGAAACAGCCTACTTCGTTCCTTAACCCAGACAGTGGCTTTAATTGTAATTTCTTGGACTGCTTTTCCCACCCCACGGTGGAAAAGTTGACACAACTAAGAAAATGGAGATTTTTTTCACCAGACACCCTTTTCCATACTAAAAACAAAACGGAATCTCACCAAATCTTGCAGCCAGCCCACTGTGTATAAGTGGAGAGGTTGGCCTGACTGGTTAAGTGGGGTAAACAGAAGCTCCAGGACCAGACCCTACTGCCTTTCTGAGAGTTTTCCCAGTTCAGTTGCTTTTAACTATGTATGGAGTCAGCCTTAGAGCTTTCTTTAGTACTGTTCTTTAGTACTGGACAAACGTGCCTGGAATGAGTGGAGTATAAGTCAGTTGGACCAGATTTGTTTTCCAGTCATTTCAAGGAGAAGGGATTAAGTGGCTAATTGGTCAGTTTTTAACTTAGCTGCAATGAAATCAGGCCTAGGGAAGTTTAATCATTAGACCATAGAGCAAGCTGTTCTGCGAGTTTAGAAATGTGCATTAATTATTCACCAAATCAGCACTTGCCCAGGCTGCAGTCAGGAGATCTGGCCTCCCTGATGCCTGGAATCCTCAACACTGGCTGCCCAGCCCACAAAGCAGGGAGAATGGGGGTCTAGTACTGCAATGGAGGTCTATAGAGTTTACAGGAAAAATAGTAAAAGGCAAACTTATTTTCTTCTTGCTTAGCTTTTAGAGCTCTAGACCAAAGGTTCGTATTGCAGTTTTTCATATACAGAAGTTGTGAGTTCCAAGTGCCATTTAGCTCCTCTTTTGTTTTTAAAATTGTTTGCCTGACAATGTGCCTGGTTTTTATATGGGCTCAGGGGATCCAAACTCAGGTCCTCTTGCTTTTATATGGCAAGCATTTTGTTCACTGAGCCATTCCCCTAGATTGTAGGTTGCTTGAAACTTGCATGTGTATGTACGGGGAGAGAGTATATGCCACTTACCTTCTGACCTCTCCATCAGTGAATCGTCAACGTCTAATCTCACCTTGTACTTCCCTCTACTCATCCCCTAAGAGCAATGCTCTCACATAAAAACCTGCTGGATTTCCTCCCATCTTAAGAAGGAAAAGAGCTCTGCCTTTAGCATGCACACCTCCCACCCTCTGTACCTTTCCTTCTATGGTCCAGTCTCTTGTCTTCAGGTTTTCTGCTTCCTTGTAGCTCCCCCCCCCCCCCCCCCCCCGTCACCCATCAAACACAGCTCAGCATCCATCTCCACCAAGTTGTTAGCTTACCTGTCGCTGTCATTGCTGAAAGAAATGCACTGTGGTCCTGTTTGATCTCTTGGTGGCATTTGCCTCAGACGATCACTTCCTCTGTCTTTAAGACTTCTTTTATCTGGGCTTCTAGAACACAATTCCAAATGTTTCCTTTTGGATTTTGACTCTTTTATTTCTCTTGACCTCAGATCACTTAAACATCATTGCTCTTGGGCTAGAGAGATGGCTCAGCAGTTAAGAACACTGGCTGTTCTTGCAGAGGACCCGGGTTCAAATCCCAGCACCCACAGTTGTCCATAACTCCAGTTCCAGGGGATCCAACAACCTCTTCTGTCCTCTGCAGGCATTGCATGACATGGGTGCACTTACCTACATGCAGGCAAAACATGCATAAACATAAAATAAAAAAATAATTAAAAAAATTAAAAAAAAATCATTGTTCCTAAAGGCTTTGTCCCCACCTTTCCCTCCACACACATTCATCCAGCATGGAGGCTCCACCAACTGTTTTTTTTCTGACTCCCCTGCATCCACATCTATACCCTGTACCTGAAATTGAACTGTCTTTTTCTTTTTCTTTCTTTGCATCCAATTTCTAACAAGCCATTGAGTACCTCCACTTTGATGACATATAGGCAAATAAGATTCATGCAAAACTGAGCTCATTTCTTCATCACTCTTTAGAGAACAAGATGAGTCATTTCCCATTTGAATTATTGGCAATATGGTTCACTCCTTAGACAGAAACCCAGACAGAAACTCCTTAGACAGAAACCCAGGAATAGGCCTGGCATAATTAGCAGGGTATAAATGTGGAATTTCTTTATTATTAATAAAGACAATGACAGCAGAGCATTAACCTAGCACAGGGTCTGCTGAGTGTAGCTGTACAAATCATGCATCCATGAAGCCAATCAGGTTGGACCCTTTTTCTCCTTCACCCACCACCCTTATCACTAGGTCCTGCCATGTCTACTTTCCTAGCAACTAGCTGTCATGTCTCCATTGATTCAGTGCCATTTTGCTGCCTTTCTTAGGAACCCCTATTCCTGTTCCAATCTCCAGAGCCTCTTCTTTCCAGTCAGCTATCCCTAGTATGGGAGTTTTTAGAGGTGCAAGCTTGAGCATCTGATTCCCTTGTTAAAAAGCCTTCAGTTTCTTCCTTTTGTCTTTTCTTACACACGAGATATTATATATCTCTATGACGTTCTCTCTGTTGCATGGGCTCTCCTTGTCAACATGGTGAACTTCCACACATCTCCATGGGTTCCACTTCCTCACAGCCTTCTGCATGAGCTTTTCTGTCATCCAGCACCTTGTGAAAGCCTGATGCTGCATACATGACACCATGCTGTAACTATGTGTTTACACCCTCATCTCTCCCAGGAAAAAGTGAGGCAAGGACAAATATTGTATAACATCCAAAGCCCAGTGTAGATGCTCAATAAATGCTTCTTGAATCAAAAAAAATTCCTTAAGTCATAAATATTCACCTTTTAGCTACCTACTATGCATTTCTTTCTGGTCAAGGAGAAAGAATATCACTGCCCAGGGGGCTGGAGAGATGGTTTAGGGGTTGCTGCTTTTGGAGAAGACCAGCATTCAGTTTCCAGCATCGACATCGTGGTTAACAACCATCAGTGACTCCAGTTCCAGGGGGATCTGATGCCCTCTTCCGGACTCTGCAGGCACTGCATACAGTAGCACACTTACATGTATGTAGGCAAAATACTCATAAAATTAAAATAAAATATTTTTAAAAATTACTGCCCATGGGGCTGGAGAGATGGCTCAGTGGTTAAGAACACTGACTGTTCTTTCAGAAGAACCGGGTTCAAGTCCCAGTACCCACATGGCAGCTAACAACTGTCCGTAATTCCAGTTCCAGGGGATCAGACAGCCTCTTCTGTCTTCTGCAGGCATTGCACGACATGGGTGCACTTACCTACATGCAGATAATACACAAATACGCGTAAAATAAAAATTTTTTAAAAATTACTGCCCAAATGAGTTCATGTTAGTACCTCCACATTTTACCCATGAACAAATTCTTGCAGTGTATTCTGTTTTTTACAACTTCTTTGATTTCTGAAGGTGTTCCAAGTTTAGGAGGAGAGAATGTCTTGTTTGTAAGCCTCTGGGCTTCACTCTGGCTGGGACATTCCACTCTGGGTCTCACTCATACTTACCTGGTACTTCCTGCTTCACTCACTGGAAAAGTCTCTGAATCACGGATGGCAGGTAAGAGTGCAAACTGCTGGCTATTCTGTCTCAAAGAATAGTTTGAGGTAGTTACCTCCTGGAGGCATTCATTATTTTCATTTGAAAAAAATCCACCAAGAGTCATTTTCAAGGTCACCTTTATTTCATTCTTTACATGCCAAGTAAGTGTCTCATCTTACATTCTAATTGACAGGGAAACAACAAGGACTTTCCATTCTAAACTTTGATCTTTAGATCTTAAAACCTGACTATTTACATAACCTTGTTCTCATGAAAAGTATTAGGTCTTTTGTTGCTTTGAAAATTGCCTTGAAGTGTATTTTGTGAGATTCAAAACTGATCTCACAAAAAAGCTTCCTTAGGTCTCACATGTCCATTCTTGAAAGAAAATAATATGAACAATAGCACACTCTTTTGGTTAAGGAGCAAAAGAGACATCACTACCTGATTTATTTAGGAATTAATTTCACTTACAGACCAATTCTTGATTTCTGAAGATGTTGCAGGTCCAGGAGATAGCAGTCAGTTACTGTGGTCAGTGGAGTTCAAGACAGGTGTCACTGAGTAGTTCTGTGTGCATCCTTTCTATCCTATGTAGAGTGCACTGTAGTTTTGCATTAAATGGTCTTGTCTATAGGATCTCTTGAGGGACAAAGCCTGCATTTTGTTAAACTTTGTATTCCATCAGGGGAAGAGTTTCTAGTATATTCTGGACATTGACTAGCCACTTGCATGAATAAATAAAATTGAATGACCCCTCTTTCTGACCACTCAGAGATCACACAGCAGCATTACTGTTATCCTATAGAAACCATATCAAGCAGAGGTCATGACATACTTCACCTTGAATTACACAACAGAAGCCTTTGTTTGGACTTACATTTCTATCGGTTCTTTCTTCCTCTGTTAACTTCCCTTGGATTTCCTTGAGGGACTAGACTTTTCAGTTTCAGTCCAAATTTTCAGGATAGGGCTAATGCCTGCATGGACTCCAGGGATAGATGGATTACCACCTCCCTCCTTCTGGTGACTGGTTCAGGGATTAGCTATAAAACTCAAATTTTCCAGTTATGGTGATCCTGGGAAGTTTTGTGAGAATTCCTGAGAAGAAACCCTATCTTGCTGCCTATGCTTAGAGTTATGTGACTGTCAATCTGGAACTGGAGGCTGCTTGAGCCTGGAGTCAACACGCCGGAAAGCAGAAAGTGGATCTTAAGGACCACTTTGAGGTATGTTGATGCATTTGTGCCTGAATCCAAATACCTTACCTTAGCCAGAAGACCCTTATACTGTTCAATGCTAGAAAATCCTTACAAAGGGTTACTCATCTAGTAAGTATTGAAAACGTGATATCTTAAATGAGAGTACCCAAGTACGTACTTGAATGCTTTAAGATGGTCACTGAAATAGGCATTTAGATTTCACCCAAGCTCTGTGGGCTTTGGCAAGACTGCACACTTACTGCATTTCATTTCCCAAGAAGGTGGGAAGTATGGTGGTACTTTATTTTCTTTAGAAAAATATGTGTTTATTTGTGTTTGTGTAAGTGTATGTGGCATGTGCACATGAGAGTCCGAGAGAGAGAGAGAGAGAGAGAGAGAGAGAGAGAGAGAGAGAGAGCTGGCTCCTGTGAATGTGCAAGGGGCTAGAAGAGGGCATCAGGCGGCCTATCACTCTCTACCTATTACTTTGAGGCAGGGTCTCCTCTCTGAGCTCCAGGCTCTCACTTTCTCACTAGGCAATTTCTCACTGATCCTCCTGCCTCAGCCCCCCTTGGAGCTGGGGTTACAGGCTTGCTCTGGCTTGTTATATGGGTGCTGGTGTCTGACCTTGGGTCTTCATGACTGAGCAGCAAGCTGAGCCATCTGTCCAGCCTGCTTTCATTTCTACCATCTATGCTAGTGAATGCCAAACCTTTTTCTTTTTTTAAGTTCTAGCCTATGTTTAGTTGGAATGCCATAGAAACCCTATAAATGGGGCAAGTTTTGTCAGTTCGCTGTTTAGTCTTTGTTTATGGATTTGGTTGCTAACCTGGCTCTTTAAAAATGAGTAGCAGAGATTGATGTCTCAGGTGTGGCTAGATAGCTATAGGAAGGCTCTTTTAAGGAAAATTTAAAAATCAGATTCATGGCAGGATTAACTAATGTAGTCAACTAAACACTTAAAACACGAATACTGCCATCAACCAAAGCTTCATTCTTTCTGGATTCTGTATTCACCACCATTCATGAGTGACTCACCATGTTTACTGAAAACACCCCTGGAAACTTGTCGATGCTAAGTTTTAGAGAAAAATAAAAGTAACTTTAAATTAATTTTAATGATGTCATCTATCTTTTTTTAAAAATGTGTATGAGTATATTGCCTGCATGTGTATAAGTACACCTGTATCATGCAATGCCTGGGGAGGTCAGAAGAGGGGGTCAGATTCACCTGGAACTGGAGTTACAGATGGTTGTCAGCCACCATGTAAGTTCTGGGAACCAAACCCGGGTCCTCTACAAGAGCAGTCAGTACTCCTAGCCATTAAGCCATTTCTCTAGCCCCAATGATGTCATCTTTTTAAATAATCCACTTAAACTTTTATTTTAAAGATTACTTTGAAAAACTTTATTTCAGTTAATGATGATTACTTTGATCAGCTTTGTAAGGATGCTAAAAATCAATAAAAACCAGAGGGGGAAATCCAACTTTCTTTATTTCTATATTTCAAGGTATTAGGTCTTCCTTTTCTCCAATTTTTGTTTGTTTTTTATTTGTTTTGTTTTTGAGACAGAATCTCACCATGTGAATCCCGAATGACCTAGAACTCCCTGTATAGACCAGGCTGACTTTGAACTCAAAGAAATCCACCTGCCTCTGCCGCAGCAGTGCTGGGATTAAAGGCCAGAACCATTTCTCTCTCTGTCTCTCTGTCTCTCTGTCTTTCTGTCTCTCTGTCTCTCTCTCTCTCTCTTTGGCAGTAAACTTCAGGGCTTTATTATGCAACAGAGAGGGCCATGCTTGTGCCCACCCACTCCCAAACTTTTAAATAGTTATTTCTGAGGTTCCTGGCAACCCCCTTATGATCTCCACATGGACTTTTAAAGACAATATAGCCAGGAAAACTCAAGTTTCCTGAATTTTCATAATTCATTTTACACTGACGGCTTTCAATCTAGATCTGTCTTTAATTGTCAGGTCACGGTTAGACTCCCTGCTCCCTCTTTCTCCCCATAGATGTTAGTGAGTGCCAAAAGTGAACTGAAAGGAAAGCTGCCTGTGTTTTAAACTAGCTAGGTTCAGGGCTTGTCTTTTGTACCACAGGCTCAGGCTGACAGGTCTGTAACCAAGAGAGTAGATTAGAAGCCATATAGTTCTAGGTTGTTAATTATTATCTGGGATGATGCAGGAAACTGGGTTTCATT